TATAGAGAATAATCGTTTATATAGAATTTTTTTCTAGACAGTGCGATAAAATGCTACATATTAAAATTTATAATATTAAAAAGGAGAAAAAAAGGAGAATAAAATTACCTAATTATATATTACTATATAATCCTGCGTTTGCACTTGAAGTTTCACTCGTGCCGAGAGTTTCGTCACGATTAGGTTTGTAGATCAAGGTTACTAATCCGTATTTGTATCGGCAAGTGTTTGAATTCAATCTTGGGTGACCGAGTAAGTTATGCGCATGTGTTGAGTCCCGTAGAAAGAGTCACTTCAGTGTGGGACCCAGATCCCATTAATGTGTCAATATGCAGACCAAAGACCAATTTTTCTCCTGCCCCTTTCTACGTTATGATACTGCAAACAAGCTAATTCCATGCAAAATACTCGAGTGAACAGTTTTAATGAAAGTTCTTCATTTCTTCAGTGCTGCTTCCGAAATGTTCTATTTTTCAATTCTCTTGATACTATAGCTTCTTTTTCACAACTTTGATTCCTTCTGTTTTTTTCTGGTGAAGAATTTGTCGCCAAGAAAATGATCGTCTCCAAAATCGAAATCAAGGAAATTTTATGAGTTATTATCCCAGTCACAAGACCGGGTTTTTTTTTTTTAAGATCAAATTTTAGATGGCCAGGTTTTCCATATCTATAGCAAAGAAACTTGCTTAAAACCTCTCTGGACCGAAACCGTAGAAACCTTTCTTTACTGTGTACTTAGGCCGCGAAGCTGAACCTCCAGGAGAATTTTCTGTGAAATGTTTCATCTTTTATTCATAGTACAGTCGACTCCCGATAACTCGAACCTCCAAGGGAAATCGAAGTTCGAATTATCGGGAGTTTCAAGAAAATAGCCGAGAGTAAGGTAAAAAACAGTTTTTATTGCACAGTGAACATTTTAATCACATTTAATTGTAGAAATGTCAAGTGAAAATTAAAAGATACTTTTAGATTATAAATCAGAACGTAACGTAACAAAACATAGCCTAAATAGAGCATGCGTTTTACTGTTTTGAGAAGAAAAGCTGCTTCACGTTAACCTGTGACAATCAACATCAGCCTCCACTAGTAAACTAGACTCCAAAATCACGTCAATAGGAAATCCAAAATTCAATGTTTCGGACGCCAGTAGACGGCTTTTTTCCCGACTTTTTAAGGGCTCAAAACATGGTTCGAGTTGTCGAGGGTAAAATTGTATAGAAAATGACCTGAGGGAAAACGAAAACTGGTTTGAGTTAGCGAGAGTACGAGTTACCGAGGGTAAAATTAGTGAATGTATTAGGGAAATCCAGGGGAAATCGATTTTGGTTCGAGTTAGCGCGAGGTTCGAGTTAGCGAGGGTTCGAGTTATCGGGAGTCAACTGTAAATCAGTACTTCGAGCAATGCACATTGCATCAAAAATTAGTGTTATTGTCAACTTATTGTTCGTATTAACTTGTAAGCAAGTTTTTATTAGTGTCAACTTGTAAGCAAACGTTTCCGTGTGTTTTCGGACCAACAACGAGGGCCGGGCGAAAAATGGCGAGAGTAAAAGAGCGTGGAAGCGCAAGACTGTCAAGCTAATTCAAAAGTTAGTACAAAGTAATCATTGCTTAAAGAGCGATCTTGACTGAGTGACAATGCAATTCTCCATAGGTGATGTAGCTTCAGTTTAAGGTGCAATTCATTCTTCGAAATTTGTATCTGAAAAATCAATATCCGAGAGAATTTAAGATCTCGCAAAAAAACACTAACGAGCTGGGCCCCGCGTGACAAAACATTGCATGAAATCATCACATTCGCAAACAAAAGGAAATCGATTTTAGTTATTTTAATTTATTTAGTTTATTTTTATTTCATTAATCAGTGCCGCTCATTAAATCTAAAATTTGCATACAGCTTAGGCCATCCTCATAAAATGTTTCGTTTCCCATCGCCCTCCCTCTCGTGAAGGTGGGTTGGTCGGTCGGTCGGGCAAAAAAAAAAAAGAATGAACACATGATTGCATATTAAATCTCACGTTTAGTCTGCAAGATATAATCAGATGGTAAAAGATGTACATTAAGGTGGCTCGACTGGATTTTTTGGGGTTAATACTTCCCAAGTTTGAGCATTAACTACGTCGGCATGAGTAAAGATATGGAAAAAAGGTTACCACAACTGTATTATATAAAGATGAAAATTTCTAAAAATACGAAATTTTTAGGCATGGACCAAATTACGTCCAAAACCTGTATCAAAAGCAGCTGAATGCAAGTTAATAAAATTCTTCTTACTCGCGATCGCCCAGAGCAATTCCTCTCTTTTTTTGTATGCAGTTGTCAGAGATGAAGCCGCGATTCCAAAGCTTATCACTTTCTTAAAACATTAGCGAATTGTGCGGCTAGCATGCTATTTCACTGTTTTTATGATTCTTAAAACTGCATTTCAAAATATTTCGAAAACCCTCTCATAGAATTTCTTCAAACTTTGCCATAATGGAGGCAATTATAGCAGGTACATACTCCCTTAAGCGATTTCTTCAAAAAACTCCTGGTACAGAGAAACACAAAGATAAATGAAAAACGTAATGGCGTCNAACTACGTCGGCATGAGTAAAGATATGGAAAAAAGGTTACCACAACTGTATTATATAAAGATGAAAATTTCTAAAAATACGAAATTTTTAGGCATGGACCAAATTACGTCCAAAACCTGTATCAAAAGCAGCTGAATGCAAGTTAATAAAATTCTTCTTACTCGCGATCGCCCAGAGCAATTCCTCTCTTTTTTTGTATGCAGTTGTCAGAGATGAAGCCGCGATTCCAAAGCTTATCACTTTCTTAAAACATTAGCGAATTGTGCGGCTAGCATGCTATTTCACTGTTTTTATGATTCTTAAAACTGCATTTCAAAATATTTCGAAAACCCTCTCATAGAATTTCTTCAAACTTTGCCATAATGGAGGCAATTATAGCAGGTACATACTCCCTTAAGCGATTTCTTCAAAAAACTCCTGGTACAGAGAAACACAAAGATAAATGAAAAACGTAATGGCGTCATTACGTTCCCATGGCGACTACGATTGCACTAAAACCCAGATCATGAGAAATTTTCATCTTTGTATAATACAGTTGTGGTAACTTTTTTTCCATATCTTTACTCATGCCGACGTAGTTAATGCTCAAACTTAGGAGGTATCCCCCTAAAAAAATCCAGTCGAGCCACCTTAACAGGACTATTAGATGTCTAAAAAGGCTACAAAAACGAAGTATCGATGATAATTTTAAGACAATATCGTGTGCTTGTAAATTAAAGTACTTGCTTCTTTACAGATGATTCTGGAATTTTTTTTTTTTTTTACTTTTCCAAAAAAATGGGTCGGTCGGGCGATGGGAAACGAAACATTTTATGCGGATGGCCTTAGTGGAGTGACAGTGAGGAATAGAGATTTTCCCCGGCACCAGCAATTTAAATACAAGTCGGCATTTAAAAATAAAGAAAAAAGACGTGCACTTGAGTATATAAGTGTCTCTTTAGTGGAAAGAAATAGATATGAAGTGTTAAGGTGTTTAGGTTGCATCTGGTCTGACACTTAAAAATGGTTTGATCACACGCTTAAATATATCAAAAGTCGGGGCGTTTTTGATGTTGTTCGGTAATGAATTCCATATCCTAAGACCTTGAAACAGGATCGAAAACTTTTTAATATTTGTTCTACAGGTATGAAGTCGGTAAAAGTCAGAGTATCAGAGTATCTGGTTGAATATTGTGCCGGATGAATCTGATTTCCAGTTTGAAAGATTTGAGTAAAAGAAATAGGTAAAGCATCATTATGATATAGGTACATGAAAGAACTTACATGGAGAGAGTAGATACTAAAAACATCAAGAATTTTCAAATTTGCAAAAAGAGGTTTACTTGAAGCCTTGTGGTCAGCCTTCGAGATCGCCCAGACTGCTCTTTTCTGTTGTAAATTCGTTGCCGGTTGGTGACATAAGTAGAGACCCAAATGGCTAAATAAGCGCATAATAAAGTGTATTCAGATCTAGGAGGCACTTTGGAAAAATTAAACAACCTGAAACCCTCATTTAGCCGCCAGAAGAGCTTTCCGTTTTAAAAGAGGTCAAAGAAAATGCTCTTGGATTCAATGGCAAATCTTGCCGACCGAAATAAACAATAACCGCAGGAAATTAATATACGTGTCACGACCTCTCGGTATGAAACAAACTTTTGATCGACACATGTCAATAATGTTCGACTACCCGAGCCAATCAGGCGCCCCGTTCGCTGGCAAGCGGGATTTTCAAAATCCCGGGGTTTGTCTGCAAGAGTTTCCTTCCTTCCCCTCCCCCTCTTTCATTTTTTGGCTCTCGTCCCATTTCTCGCGCGGCGCGGCCAAAACGAAAAATCTCGTTCCTCGGTCTTTCGTTGCTTCAAAACCAAACGGAAACGCTTGCTACGCAGGCTATCATAATATTGTCTTTATGTAATTTGTTTAATGTCTGTAAGTACCTATTTTTTTTGTAAAGATTGCAAAAAAAGAAAAACCTCCCTGGAATAGTAAAATGCCAATGCAATTGTCATCTTACATTATAATCTACGTGTTTTGTTCTATACCCAAAAATGTTGATTTTAGAACCCAAGCAGTCAAATACCAATGAAGCAGGCAAAACAATGTTTTGAGGCGCTCGTGCTGTTTTTGATCTCTCAGACAGCAACTTTGGGGACAAATGATACAGGTAATAAAGAACTTTCTTTCATATTAAACCACACTGTTTCAAGAACTTGAACGTCTAGAGGTTTTTTTGAAATCGAAAGGCGCGGTTGCAATAAATACGACACGTTTTTAGTTTATGATAAACTCTCAGCCAACGCAGATAATGCAATAATTTTTAACTCGGCACACCTTTATCCTTTTCATATTTCTCTGTTCCTTCTTCCTCGTTTTTTCACCATCAACTGATCCGAAATATCCGGTTTTACTTCAGCACGTAACAGAAGAGCGGCGCTTAACTTAGACGCCTTTGGCTATGACATTAACAACTGTCTCTTCAGTCATTGGACACCTTTTAAAGTTGTTGAAAAAGGCAATGCCGTATTACAAAAGCAGGTTGCGTGTGGCGGGAAACAACTCTGTTATGGTACTCCTCCTAACCCAAATAACACGCCAGAGCAACAAAAATTTCACAAAGCACAGTTTGCCGTCTGTTACAACACGGCAACACGTATTCCGACATTTACCGGGCACGTGGTTAAACCGGGTGTCGTAAGGGGAATCAGGCCAATGAACCGAATGTATTTCACGCTGATACTTATTTTACAGGTAAGTGATTTAATTTAGGTTTTATAATAACTATTTCTCTCTCACTGATTTGCTAATATTAATCATCGAAGTTCCACACATACAAATTTAATTTCTGCACGTACTTTTAACTTTCTTGTCAAGGATTGCAGTGGACAGCAATTACACAATGTTATGAAGCAATTTATCACCAATAACCGCACGGTCACCTTGCTACTTTTTGAGTGCGACTTTTTTGTTTTCTAAGTTTCTACCAGGCATTCAATTTTTTGTTACGACAGTCGAAGTTCTCCTTGCGACCACTCTAGTAAGCGACCTGCTCTAGTTACGACCACCTTTTTGAAACTCTGTTTTAGCTGTGACTTAAACTTCGTATTAAATGAAAAGCTCTCGTAAACGACCTCTCCTGTAAGCGACCGCGACCACGACCACTTTTGGGATTACCCAACCTGATTTTTCGTTTGTTTTTAAGCTCTCGTAAGCGACCACTCAGAGTCTTATTCATATAAACCAACACTTAAATGAAACTGCCCACTACGCTAATGGTTCGTTGATAAAGATCGTGGGGTTCAATTTTGGTCTAAAAAATTGGACGTAAAGTTTAGCCGTGTCTATATCAGCTTAAGACACTCATTAAACATAAAGTTTCTTTTGTTTTTCTTTATGAATTTTTTAATGACTTTCTGAAGCTCTGGTAAGCGACCACCCTCCATTGTTTTACCATGCGGTCGTTTAAAATATGATTCATTTCATATATTTCAATTGTAAGTGCTTATTTTGAATTTTACTCGTTTGGTTGTTACTGAAGAGAAAGCCAGTTTGATTCTAGATTCCCTTTAAGTTATATTTATTACTTATTTGCAAAACATTCCAAATCAGTGTGGTGCAAAAGTGAGGCATTTTCCTAGAGAAAAAAGCAAGTTCTCCGTTTGTTTGTTTGTATTTTTATTGTTATACTTCTACTTCTACTTATACATCACAGATCCAGTGACAAGGCAACCATCTAATGAAATAGCATTACATGGTGACTACAATACCGACCACCAACGCAATCTTAATATCAATTTCGATATCGTGAATCGGTATTGTGCTAGAGGTCATTTGACTCCAAACGCGGATTTTTCAGACGGCGACGAACGTGCGCGCACCTATGTAACAACCAACATTGCACTAGCCTGCGTAGCAGGCGCTTGGAAGTAGCGGGCGAAAGAGAGAACGGGCGCGCGCGAGGGAGACACACAAGGGGTGAGGGAGCTTCCTCTCCCCTCGCGTGTCTCCTTCTCGCGCGCCCGTTTTTTCTTGTGCCCACTACTTCCAAGCGCCTGTTCTAGCGCGCCCGTTTTTTCTTGTGCCCACTACTTCCAAGCGCCTGCTACGCAGGCTAACATTGCACCTCAGAGGTAGCTGTTCAATGGCGGTAACTGGCAAATATTGGAAACCATCATACGAGGCTATGCAAACTTTTCGGAAAATCACCTGTTTGTGATCACTGGGACGAGTAAGTAAAAAACGAATGGCGACTAGCCGGCTGTCGTCAGTGTTGTTAACTTTTCCTCATTTCAGCTCAGTTATTTGCTAGAGATCCCATGCAGAACAACGCAAAGCTCATGTTAGGAAAAGGGCCAATAGTAGGAATAAAAGGAAAACAAACCAAGAGAACAAAAAAAGTATAATAATAAGTATAAACAAACAACAACAACAACCATAACTAAAATACGTCTCAGCTCGCGGTCTAATCTAAAGTATTTTCAGTGCTGTCTCTTACAGAAATTCTGCCGGAAAACTCCCTTTACAAACGCTGGTCGAGCCGTACCATGTACTCAAAGATAGATTTCACGAAAAGTAAGTTTCTGGCGCTAAAAAACCGAACTGCAGTTCATCTCATTTGACGAAATATGGCCGACACGGCAGACACTGAAACTCGTCTGCAAAGTGAGAAGTAATTTTCTCTTATCTTGAATGTCGCTCTTATTTTGAAGCTAGCGGTCTAAATCGCTTTCATTTTCTCTTTAGAGTACTTCTGCCGTCGAAATTCAAGTCAAAAACCATTTCTTGACCGCTAGAAGGGTCGGACACAAAACAACTGGGACAAGTTTTTTTCGTCGCTATTTCTTTGCTGACCTTTTTAGAGCTTTCAGTGAATGAATTATGCACCCTTTAAGTTTTTCTAGATTTAAAAAGGGTAAATGTGCTTGCCATTTATTTTTTTTGTTGCCTAGTTATTGAGATGTTTTTACCAAATTTGAAGTAAAAAGTAGAAGCATAATTTTTGCATTTTTTGCTAAGATGAGCATGATTTATTAAAGAGGCCCTGTTAGAGGGAGTGCCCATGTCCCCCGTCTGAATTTCACAGCCAGCTATGTCGCACTTTCGGAACATTCTCGTGTCGCCTGTCGGAATTTCAATAACATTATTTGTTTAGCTCGTTGCCAGTCTGACAATCCGCATTCGCTGCGACGACGCCAACGGAACATACGGCCTCTATCTTTAGTACTTTTAAGCCCAGGGTTTTAAGACCTTTATAAATGTTTGATATTTATTCAGACTACTTGGAATAGTAATTGAAGTCAATAAAATTCCATTTAGTAAACTATACAATTTTAGAGATATTTTTAAAATGGCTTGGAGTGAATCGAGGCCTAATCTGGCAAAACACTCGAGCTATCATAACGTTTCTAAAATTCTGGTAGTGCAAGAAAGAGTCTAATGTTTCTTCCGAGTTAAACTCTGATTTAGTTGTCAGACTGTGCTTTTCCGTAACTATAACAACCCAGGAGGAAGGACATTATCAACCATTCATTATCTGTGAGGCATGCGTTTACAAGAAGTCTGTGAAAAATGAACTAAAGGTCCAGACGATTTGGGCGGATGACGGTTCTCCCGGATGTTGTGCGAAGTGGGATTCCTCCAAAGACGACGTCTGATGGGTTTTCATCATCATCAGAGTCGAGGTCGCTGTCCTCTTCACCGCCCTCTTTGTCTGGCAAAAGGTCTTCCACGTCATTTTGGGTATCGAAGAAATGTTTCGTATGATACCTCCGTCACTTTCACATAATCGCACCATTTTTCAAAATGCTCTTCCCCCACTTTACTGACGATAGCATCTCGGTGGATTCGTACGCTTTCATTCAAAGTAAACAGCAGACAGTCTTCAAATGAAGAAACAAACAACTCAATATCACAAAAAGAATTCTCTTCCTTGTCGGTGACATAAGCTACGACAATTCCAACAAAGAGGGGTCCCCTGTTCGGGTATCCACGTATGTTGTCGCGCTTGACGACCACAACACTGTTGGCCTCAAATAAAATGGCTCCTATGACAGCTTCCTGCTCAATCTCTGTGACCACTGTTTCTCTAGCTGTGAGGTCGCCTGTGGTGGAAAAATCTAATGGTCTTGGAGGCTGATCTGGTGTTGTGTATGCGAACAATGGAAGTGTACCTACATTGTCCTTGGTACTTTGATTTCGAACGTCACGCAACGCTCCTCCCCACTAACTTGTGGGGAGGAGCGTTGCGTGACGACACTAAAAACAGCTGTGTAGCGTGCTATGTTGCCACTAGCACGTACCATTTCTCGACAGAGAGGCAAATTCCGTCACATTCTTCCGTGCATTCCGTGCACAAATTTTGGCGAGTCCCGCCTCCCAGGTAGCAGTCAAATCCCGTTTCCCGTCAAGATATTTTGTGTTTTCCCGAATCTCTTACCGAGACTACCCTTCAAGACGCTGTTCATTGTTACTATTATGAGTTTTCTTTGGTGTAACATGGATTTTAAAAGGTAGATTTCAGGGAAAACTTGTCTGTGAACTGAGATGCACTGGCAAATATTCATTTAACTCGACTTTCTTTTGAAGCTACCGGTCCAAATTGCTTAAATGTTCCCTGTACAATACTTCTGCATCGAACTGTAACGCTAAATACATTTCTTGATCGCCGCTAAAACTCAAACTGCAAGGCCTTCGGCCTCGCTACTCGAGGAACAGCTGTTGGGATTATCGGCCGAGTGCTGTATTGTTTTGGCGGGGAGGGGGGGGAGGGGGGCTGCGAGAAGATTGGGAACAAGTCAAATTGATACCTGGTGTAGCTGCACGCAGTTTCACTGGATTAGCGAGCGAGTGCTGCCAAGAGACAACCCCGGACATAACAATCCCGCCAGCTACACAGGCTAAGCAATTCTTTGATTTACACACGGTGTGTATCGATACAAATGCGCCATGTAAGTATGGCGTTTTGTTGTGTATTTTTTGTATCTGTTGTTGTTGTTGTTGTCGTTTTGCGATTTAATCAACATAGAGCGGCTTATACTTATCCTGGTTTACATATAAAGGAGTAAAATTCGTACAATAACTAGGAAATAAAATATTAAGCTAGATTACTTGACAAAAGTTATGTTTGGTAGTTTATTAAAGCAAGAGCTTTTTTCTGCTTGTCATAAATAACGTTATACGCCCACGTGGCTTTCGAAGTTAAGCTTTTCTCGTTTTTATCAAGGTGGGAGCGCAAGGAATTTGAATGGAGCTGTTGTCTGGCTGAATAATCGAGTTCTGGCACCAGGATATTATTGGAAGGCTGTGTGTGACCCAATCAACAAGCAATCCATTTTTTTTTTCGCTGAAAACAACGTTGGTAACGTGGATAATGTGCAAGAAAAGGGTTGCTTCAATATAAAGCAAACCAAGAGATATGGTGTAATAAAGTGCGACAGTATCTCAAACGCCGAGGCCAAATTTGGCAAATTGCCAGATTTTCATAAGACGAATTGCAAACCTGATGAAGGAGGTAGTAAATTTAAGGAATATGTCATGACTAACAATAAGTACAAAATGTTTATGTAATCTTATGAAAAAGAGGGTCATAACGGGGAGTCTGCTTTGACTGTTGACGGCTAAAAAGTAAACTTTTTGACGGTTGAAAGCTCAATTTTAAGTAGTTTGACGGATGATGATTAATCTCACTATATTACGCAAAGATGACGTCATTTTCTAATGACGACGTGTAAAATTTTCATTTTCAATAATCCTGAGCATTCAGTTTGAAGTTATGCATGTAATAAATGAATAACCAGTGTAATAAAGAATTACTAATTCTCTGGTTTTCACCGGCTTATTACTGGCTCAATGCGTGCATAATTACGACCAAATATATGCGGCCACTGCCCAGCGGTTACCCCCTATGAGCCCCTCTTTCACTGAAAAGTAAGCGTAAGGTAGAGATCCCCTAAAAGCAATGAATACCGATAGTTATTTAAAAGTCGAGAGGGTTGTCGTCTACTCTTGGGCTCCGCGCGGTTTTTGCCAAAGGGTCCTAAATAGCGGTATTTGTCAGCATTGTGACGTGAAAACGATCACGGTGACCCTCACTTTTCATTACTTTTTTATCATCTTGATTTGTTACATCAGTGTACCAAAGCAAGTTTCATCTACAGTCTATGTTGGGTTCTTTTATTAAGGAATCACCTTAAACCACGTTCTGGTGATGGCAAGATTTATCTGCTTTAATTAAAATCGCTGATTGGTTTTCTTACACTATGGGCCAGTTATTTAAACGGGGTTTAGCCAGTGTTTTATAAAACCGGGTTCTAAGCCATTTTCAGTTTACCGAACGCTTTTATATAAACACCATTTATCGTGAACGGTTTCATGAAATCATATGGCGTAGACTAGAAAAGCATTCGTCTTCTTAAAATAATCCACTATGGACGAGATCTCGAAGTCCAAAGATTTCCTAAACCGCGGTCTAAGTTAGACTTCGTTAAAATAACCGACCCTATGTTTTTATTTTTTCCAAGACTTTTGAACCATTTACATAAAGGCTAGACCCAGGGTCCTTTGTGAGCTTTGTGGGGAATAGTTTTTTAATGGTCAACCAAAACTTGTCTAACCTGAGAAAACAGCCGACATTTCGCGACGCCACCTCGTGAAATGACGTAGAGTTGTTATTGTTGACAAACGAGCGCAGAAATTCCATACTGATGACGCGTCACTACTCAGATCTGGGTAGTTCTTCTGATTGGTTGAGGCAAATTTTTAGCCAATCAGAAGCCCTAACCAGATCTGGGTAGTGACGCGTCATCAGTATGGAATTTCTGAGCTGGTTTGTCAACAACAATAACATGACTCAGACGTCATTTCGCGGGTACACCGGCCAGTGGTGGCGTCGAGACATTTCGGTTCTTTTTTCAGCTAAAATTTATCTCAGGCTGCATTTTCTTGCGGGAGATCACGATGATATTTGTTTTTACATTTTTCGATCATACCATTAACTTTAGTTTCGAAGACCAATGATTTTCCCCAATTTGTTTTTCTCACTTTCTGAGGAGTTGATCTGCAGTGTTCATTTCCTGCTTCACACTCTTTGTTAGACAAGGGCAAAGTGCTGTTTAGGCGTGTGATTGTCAATGTATCGTGCGAGCTTAGCTTCAATATCCAAACGATTGCGACCTACTGGGTACTTCACTTCCGCTATTACGTGTTTTATATGGTAAAACTTCGCTTCCGAATTAAAGCGTACCTCAAAATCCAGCGCAAGGAAATGTCCATAGACGATACAGTCAAATCTCTCTATACCACTAATTGAGGGCCTGTTTACATGGAGATGGGGGACCCCAGGTTTTAAAGCATAAGTATTAGAAATATTCTTTATGAAGCTATCTAAATAGGTATATTTTCTAGTGAAATATTGAAAAACGAACGACTTTAGCCGCTTCCAGAAGAATTGACAAATGCCCCACCCCCGGGCAGAGCTGATTTTCTGACAAATGTCCGGGGAGATGGGCACGCTTGGAATTGACTGAGTCATTATATGATAGATGGGGTGACCCGCCACATGTTACCTCACCTACCTGGAGTCCCCCACCTCCATGTAAACAGGCCCTAAGACAGACACCTCTGGGACCTGCACTATGGGTCCATCTGAGAGAGATGTCCGTCTTATAGAGAGTCAAACAAAGGAAGTAAAGAAAGGCAGGGACCAACTCTAGGTGTCCGTTTTACAGAGGTGTCCATCTTATAGAGAGTCAAATAAAGGGAGTAAAGAAAGGCAGGGATCAACTCTAGGTGTCTGTTTTACAGAGGTGTCTGTCTTATAGAGAGTCAAATAAAGAGAGTAAAGAAAGGCAGGGACCAACTCTAGGTGTCTGTTTTACAGAGGTGTCTGTCTTATAGAGAGTCAAATGAAGAGAGTAAAGAAAGGCAGGGACCAACTCTAGGTATCTGTTTTACAGAGGTGTCCATCTTATAGAGAGTCAAATATAGAGAGTAAAGAAAGGCAGGGATCAACTCTAGGTGTCTGTTTTACAGAGGAGTCTGTCTTATAGAGAGTCAAACAAAGGAAGTAAAGAAAGGCAGGGACCAACTCTAGGTGTCCGTTTTACAGGGGAGTCTGTCTTATAGAGAGTCAAACAAAGGAAGTAAAGAAAGGCAGGGACCAACTCTAGGTGTCCGTTAAGAGAGAATCGACTGAAAATGTTATTGAAATTCTATTTGCATAAACGAACACAGGCTAGTGTCGCTAACCCAGAGCACAGGCAGCCCAAGTTCCGTGCATAAATCAGCGCGCTTTGATACTGTTGTAGACTTTTTTTGAGAAATTTAATATAGTTGTCAAAACGTAGAAATATAGGCATAAATATAGAAATAAAATTCACTTACGTAAACTTGGGCTTTTTGTTGCCTTTTCTGTGTAACCTATGCTCAATTCATGGCCATTTTTTACGGTTTTCCTTCTCGTTGTTCGGTGTTGCTTTCCGACATAATGCGAAGCAAGGAAAGTTACTTTACGCAATCTCAACTCACAAACTTCTCCCGCATCGAAGAACAGCGCACCGTTGCGCATAAAAGCGCCAAACCCTAAATACCAGATAGGTCTCTCATCTCTTCCCCTCGTCATGGTGTGCGCTCAGGAAACTCGATGACTAAGCGCTGCGTGGTGAACGCGTTCATTCGCCAAACAAGGTACATTTTCCACATAATGCAGCTTATTTGCCCCCAAAAGTTTTGCATAAGCAGTGTTTTCAATTTCTCTTGGGACGGATGTAATACCCTATAGAAATGAAAAACAAAGGTTAAGCACAAAATTTTTTCTTTTTTTGGGGGGGAGGGGGGCAAATCAGGTGCATTATGGGAGGAGATGTGGAAGTGGCGTATGGACTTAAGGGATCCGGATCATCAATATTGCGTGAAAAACATGGATCTTCCCATCCTGAGATAGTCCACAAATTGCGCTTGAGTGGTGTTTGGAATTATCCACCAAGATAAGCGCATGAGTTGTTGCCTTAAGCTGACTTGGTTGACAAAATGCAGTGATTTGCATGAAATTATCTGTCCAAGCTTGATCTAGTTTTATTGTGACTGTTGACCGCAGCGGAATGCTAGCCCGTATACAGCCACCTCCTCCCCTCAGAAAAACAATCGATTTTTGTTCTGCACACTGGTTACGGAATGCGGAAAAAGTCTATTTTCCTTTCCATAGAAAAATTTTGATGCTTATTATGTTATGTTACGAAAAAATTTAGTAACTTCCTCGAGAATCCCCGCGTGATGTTTCTTCCGCTTTTAAGGTCGTTGTCGATTCTTAACTGTACAGAATTAATTTTGAACAGCAGCATTTTATGTATAAGCAAACGTTTGAGCTGAACACTTTACTTTTACAATTTATTTGCAGAACTCTGGTTCACCAAACTTTTTCAGGAACAAAACATCAAACAATAATATGAAAAAAATGTGAAAGGGATGTTTTTGAATCTGCTTAAGTAGACACTTGTTTTATGATAAAAGGTCTCGTCGAAAAATTCTCGTGCAAAGAACTTCCCAGAAACCTGATCTGATAGAAAGTGAAGTTCTCCTTTTACTCTGTTAAAAATCTCGTTAAATCAGATTGACATTTTGGTTTTTATCGTTGCAATATATTAAGTAGTATTTTGAAGGCGTTGCAGTAAATCAGTGTTAACAAAAGTTAAACTTTTACACATCCTGAAGTTTAATAAGGTTTATTTAACAATTAGCTCATGCTTCAGCGTACGTATGTTGAGATTTAATCACATAACAAACGTAAACCGCGCGCTCTGATTGGTCAATTGCCCATTGACTAATTGACTACGGCGACTCTCACGCTTCTTTCGTGCTTAGCAACCTCCAGCATGCAACTATTTGAACATTAGTAAAATCCAACTAGTGGTCTATTATCAATGCTGCCTTCTGATTGGTTAAGCTATACTAGGCTATATGTTATAGCCTACTAGTAGCGAAAAGAGCGCGCTTTTTGGCGCAAAAAAGGATTTAAGTCTAGCTTTAACTAGCTAAAATTTGTTTATTCTCGATAGTTTGACCAACTAGTTGGATTGAACAAAAAAAATTATTCCTCTCGCCCTCATGGCCTCTAAGTCAATAGCCCATGAGACCGAAGGCCGAATGGGCTACTGACTCAGAGCCCATTCGGGCTCGAGGAATAATTGTTAACTAGTACACGCTGAGTCATTTACCATTTGTTATTTGTAGCACGCTCGTGCTATAGAGCGTTTTCACATGACGTCACGGTGGCCGTATTGGTGTACGAAAACAATGAAACGGCGGCCATGTTGTTGTTCCAAACCAGTCCTGTGGGAGTTGAATTCTTTTCTTTTGCAAACGCTTTCTTTTTTCCAATAAATTTGCATAGATGCTGGTCACGTGAGTGAAAACGCTCT